CGAAAGATCCCATGCAGCATAAATATTATGCCGGGGACATGGGTTTTCCTCATATTCACTTAAATCTAGAAATGACATAAAAAACTTAAGGTGTTTTAATAACTTTATAAATAATAAGACTATTATTAAGCAATCCCTATCATTTCAAAGGCTAGTATTGGCTACATTGTGATATTATTATAGCAACTATTTAGCAATCAAAAATATGTTGTAGGAACGGTGATCATAGAAAATACGAGGTTATTGCATACGGAAAGTTTATGAGTCGCAGGGGTCTCTGAATACATATCTTTGTTTTAGGATAGCCTACATGCAAATATGTAGTTAACCTCGGTTTCAAACATTGAATTTTAGATTTAAAAAAAACTAAAATAATGTCTAATTTCGTTCTACAGAAACAAAACGTGTATCGTTTGTGTAAGATGGCACAAGGCCTATTTAACAATGTAGGACGACAGACTGCTTACAAGTAAAAAAACGGGAATGAATTTAATTGATATGACAAATGATATAACACTAACAAATCTTAATGATATCAAATGAAAGAGGAAAAAGTTGCCAATAATTAAGCCGACTGATCCTTGGATGATTTACTTAGCCTAGACTATTGGTTTTGCAAGTACACCTTGTTTAAAGATAAAACGACAAAAAGTGAGTAAATGTATAAAACTATGACCGTGCAGTAGACCATTTGCAGTTTTAGAATAATCTGTGGTCTAAAGTCAGCCACAGTGATTGCTATCGGTTTTCTCCAGAACATGTTGTTACGTTTCCTGTTCTGACCATGTGAGTTCAAAAATACTGCAAATCTTTGTAGCCCACACAGGACGTATGTCAGAATTGGTCAGAATAATTATAGAAAGCCTCACATTCACTTAATATCAATAAAAAGTATTACAATTTGAACAAGCGCACAGGCAACTTAAAAGGCCGAAGTATCAAAAACGAAAATATATCTTTAAACCTGGATTTAACATACTTTAAATGTACCTTTATTTTTTTCTTCAGAAATTATGCAGCAACGACATGTAGGTTTGTTCCTTTTATGAGACCGAGTAAAAATAATGCACCAAGTATATTAACAAGCTTGATTCCAGAAATAAACTCATGTGGAAATTTGTTGGGAGAATTAACGCCCCTCCCCCATCAAATACACACAGCCTTCATTAAGCGTCTACTTAATAGCATATTTCTAAAACAAAAGACGTCTGAACATAGGCCTACGCATTAGCCTGATCACAGCAATAGGTGAGCAACCTCTTTTAAATGAGTTCACGCGGTTTTTCTTTTTCGCAAAACAAACTAACAATTACCAAACGTCTTCATTTATTTAAAGAAAAATCCCTAATGTACTTCATTTTAAACGGTCGGTATTTATCAGTCGCTGTCACATTTTCTCCTGTTGTTCTCTGCTCCTTAAAAAAAAATGCTGAAAAAGCGCAGTTCAGCCATCAGCCCAAACAAGAGCTCATTTGAACTTGTCACTTTTACTGATCCACATTTTAACTTTTTTCTCAACACATCGCTGTCTTTTCCTGCAGCACCTGCTTCTAGCCCAATTATTCACTTAACACACACCAGTGCTTTCCCCGTCATTCAATGATGAAAAGGGGGTTTATTGTAACCACAGAAGAGGAGAAAGGAGCTTATAGCGACTATAAATGAAAATGAAAAGAAACAAGCACCAGACTTGTTATGGGAATAAAGGCACAAACGATAGTGGAGGCACTGCAGGCGAATAAAGAAAGGGTCAGGCTAAATTGAGAAATTCTGTATTAAGAAAACAATTGCGGACAGAAAGACAATCAGACCCTACAGTCTGACAGATAAGCGGACACAGGCACCCTGTCTTGAGAGTGAGAATTCAAACGTGCGAGCAGTTTTCCTAAAACATCTCGAGATAAATTGTACGCGTTTTGTTTTTTGATCGAGTGTTTGCCTGTTTATTTAGTTTTGTGTCCTTGGAGATTTAACACCAACCACTTCACAGCAACTATACGCTATTGAAAGTTGTAGAAATGTATAATGCAGATTAGAATCAAAATTTAATTTACAAATAATCGTATTGTTTATTTTACTTTCAGTTGTGCTTGATTTAAAACTCATTTTTAAAATATTTTACAAATACAGTGCAACGGGGTGCCATTCGAAATTTAATAATAAAAACGTCGATAGTACAAAATCATTTTACCAGACGTGCTTGTAACCGTAAAATGACTCCGGTACCTTTCACGCTGTCCTTTTGAAATCATAGGTGAATTGCGTTCAGATTTTACACATTATGTACAGGGATTTTCTTTTAATGTAAATCAATAAATTAACGTGTTGAATATAAAACTAAACTTTGACATAGAACGCTAAACACATTAATTTTAATTAACACATTTTCAATATTCACAGGTAAAATCCCATTTCACAGTGCGTCAAGTATACAATCACACACACAAAAAAGCTGAATATATTGAGATTTAAATATGCTTATATACATCAGTCTGATCAGTGCACTTCCTCAGGGGAGTAACAGAACATGCTGGAATTTCTTGTCGAATTGAAACTGCTTTTCCTTCTTTAAAGCTGCGAAACCTCATTTCAACAAGATTTTCACATGCATCGATTTGTGGCAAATCCAGGGTTTTTTTTATAAGCCTTTCTTTCATAGGGCGCTAATTTCAGTGTTGTTTGCGTTAATGGAGCAGTACAAGAGCAGAAGTTGTTTTTTTTTTTTCAGCTGTTGTTGTTTTATTTAATACCTTAAGAACACACTCACGCTTTGTTTTAAAGAAAGCAACCGCACAACTGTTGTGGACATCTGATTTAAATAATTTAAATAAAGTTTAACACACATAAACAAACACAGTCTGTACCCGATATGTAACCTATATGTATACAGACACACATATATATATAGGTTAGAGGGTCATACATCTACTCTTACATATATCAAGAGGTCACGGAAATGGGGTACAGCAGCTTTAACGTACTATTGTTTTCGCTATCCTCTCCCTCTTTTTTGGATTAAGAGGACATAAAAAAGACATTCTTCTTGCCCTTCCGCACGGACGATGCCTGTGCAAGTCTTTCTGCTTCCAGGCTGTTCTCTGAACGGTCTAACGGTGTGGAGGCCGATAGCTCAGCTGTCAGCGTTTGGGAACAAAGCTCCGCATCACATCTGTGCTCGTCTGCAACGGACTAGGGTGCAGTGCATCGCTGGGGAGCTGGCCCAAAATCCCCCCATGGTGGACCGTCCACGGTCTTCGAGGGGGGCGGGGCGGGGTTAACAGTGTCTATTCACATCAACTGCGGCTGCTGCATAGCTTCTTGATGTGCCGAGGGGTACCACGATGTGTAGCCGGGGATGTAGGTGCCCGGGTTACCCGCTGGCGCTTTCCCGGAGGCTGAAGCGTTCCAAACTGGGGCGACAGAAGGCGAGCCTGTGGAGAGACCTCTTCCATTGGCTAACGCGTTTGTGTCTATCGCCCCCCCGCCTTGCTTCATCAATTTCTTGAACTTGGATCGCTTGTTCTGAAACCAGATCTTCACCTGCAAAAGAAAAGACTCTTGTCAGACAAAAGCCGCGGTGTTCACAGTCGCTATCACTAAGCAGTCGGCGCGGTCAATGTTATCGAAGTGTTTAGCTCGATAAATCCTGACAGCTGTGCATGAATCCAAACCGAGTATCCTGATCTTGAAAGAATACGGTCACTAGCCTATTTTGTTTTCACGGAACACAAAACATGATTAAATGTACACATCAACACAAAATAATAAACGGGTTAGTATCTTACGTGTTAATACATTGTGGGATATTAAAAATTAGTCGCCATCACGAAAAATAATGCTGAATCACAATGTGAAAATGAGCCACATAAAAATAAAAAATAAAATATTTTGCGGCTGAGTCAACAACGTGATTAAAAGAAGTCGGCACGCTATTAAACTAGATTATATTTAATATTCTCTTTATCTTTGGTACTGGTACGCATTTATAATCAAGTTCGAAACCTGACAGTTATCTTTGTGTGGTCAAGTAGGTTTGTATCATTGTTGCAAAACCTGATTTAACTTTACAGATCAATTCATAAAATAGCATGACATTCCATCTCCTTTTCCGATGGTGTTCGATTTTTATCTTCATGACAAAAAGACGGACAATATTATTATTATCACCAGCAGTAGCAGTTATTCTGTTGTGAAGTTAAAAGTACATAACGAAAAACCGGTGTGCATTAAAAAACAAACGTACCGACCTGTGTCTGTGTGAGTCCCAGCGAGGCAGCGAGTTCAGCTCTTTCCGGAAGAGCGAGATATTGCGTTTGCTGGAACCGTCTGTTCAAAGCTTGGAGCTGCAAGCTGGAATAAATAGTCCGGGGTTTGCGGATCTTTTTTCCTTTCCCGTTAAACCGAACTTCTCCTCCTTCCACAACTGTGTTTTTCTCTGTCTCCGTTGCTGAGAATCGAACAAACAAACAAGACCAAAAAAGGAGGAAAGAGAAACAAAACGTGTTCAGGAAAAGAGCCTTCACGACCGCTCCAGCAAAGCAGCGAACTTTGCTGTGCAAGTTTGCTATTTTTACCATGCTGCAGTTTAGGTATAATTACCCTTAATTGCATACATTGTTTATAGCATTACGCAATAAATAATTACCAAGACTAATACGTGAACATCTGGGCTGATTTTCCAATTCGGCGTACGTTCACTGGACTGCAAAAGCAAAGCTTCAGCGTCGCCCAGCGCTTTGCAAAAGTAGGAATTCGTCGACAAGAAATTCTGGCGGTCTTACCTGTGTCTTCTAACCGTGTCTGCGTTAAGGTCGAGCTGCTTTGGTAGGACTGTACAGAGCTGATATATGGACTTGAGGAATGACTGCCGACCGAGTTGACATATGGATAACCCAGAGACCTAGGGAAAGATGAGCCTGTGCTGTATGAACTTTCGTGTTGAGAATGACCAGCAGAATGTAAACAGTGCATGGAATAGTGTCCATGAGACATGGAAGAAGGCGACATTTGTTGGCTTGATGGCCCAAATTCCATGAAAACTGCTTTCCCTGAGACAGGGCTATTAAGACTTTCTGGCATTGTAGTCATTGTCATCTCTTCTGGCTGATCCCTTCTCTTCCTTTTTGTTTTCTTCTATGATCTCAGTGAAGGATGGATCCCAATTTAAGCTGATCTGATTTTTTCACTTTCCATTCATAAGAAAATGGAGTTTGTCTCTGTGAAAAGTCTAAGCATGATGCTGTGGATCTACACAAACTCGCCTCAAAGGTTTGAATCAGCGATTCATGAATATTCATCGAGCCCGGCGCTGATTGGCCCGCCCGTGCCAAGAGCGGCTCCGATTGGCGATCCAGAGGTTGGGTCCGGAGAACCTTCGGAACTCAAGAAAAACAGCAAAGCCGAGACTAAATTTTGTGCATTTCCGAAAACCATAGTAAAAGGTACAGCAGATCTGTTTCGAACAGATGACAGTAAGAGAAAGAAGATCATTTTAAAGCCTACTGCCTGTCTTGAAAGAAGATAGGGATAATTGCTAAAATACACGTTGTAGCATCCTCCAATACCAGGCTGTATACATTCACTGTATGTAGTGTTTCTGCTCAGAACACTCAGGTGCAGTTCCTACTGACATTCTTCCTACTTTGTGCCATAAACCAGTGTGCCATAAACGACAACAACAATACACATATTTTAAAAATATATTTTTTAGGAAAATGGTTCCTTCACATCACGGAATAGGTTTCAGATTTTATGGAAATATATGTTGGTGGCCAATGTGAAATTAAAACGTTACGTTTCTAATTAAATTAATCATTCAATAAAGTGAAGTTTGAGCATTCTAAGAAAGCATTTCAAGATTTTGTCCGTAAAAGGAGAATATGTCAAACCATTGTTATCCGTTGTAAGGTTCTTTAATCGATTCCTCACAATTTGTACATTTATTTTTATTTAAATAAATATTGGCAGTAGAAAAGCACTAATTAGGGATTCAAATAAACGTCATGCCTTATGATACGTTGCCAAATGAACAACATTAAAACGTTTTAATATTTAAGTGCGTGACGTATGAAAAACTATAATGATGTGATACATTAATAATAATTGCAGTAGAAAACATCTACCATTTTCAGACATTTTTATTATGATTACTCATTTAGGACGCTATATGCGGTAATCATCTTTCACTATCAATAATAATTTATTTGACTAACGACTAATCCAAAACAACTTACATTTGCATCGCTTTATACAGCAAGGAAGGAAACTTGAATATGTAAGAAAAGCTTAATTCTGTACAGCTTGAACTGAAATCAGTTCAGGGCGGCTTGTCTCTCCCGGATCTTTAAAAAGACGCTGCCTGTTTTGAGACGGTCTCTTCGTGTGGACACCCACAACACTAATAATAATAGCCAGTGAAAGTAAACAAATTGAGAAAGTTGTAACTGTAACCTGTGTCTCTGGATTTGTGAGAGTTCACACGTGCAGATGTATTACTTACTGATTCATTTGATTAAATGCTGGTCTCGAGTGCTCTGATCCGCAGCTGAAGGCAGTCCTATTAGCATAACACTGATGTTTAATTTTCATACGCATAATTAGCCATATATTTAACACTTCCAGCGACACGCAGTCTGCTTTCATCATTAAACAGCCTGGGGACCTGAAGTGGCCTAGGCTGAACTACAACGGTGGACTACTGAACATTTGGAAATATGCGGGACTGTTCAATGTCAGATTGGCTAATAGCAATAAAACAAAACTGTGGCGTTCACCAGAATTGGGCTATCCTTTCTGCGTCATTTTTTGCTGTAATTAGCATTCCAAGAGAATCAGAAGTCGTTTATACCGGGTAATATTACATCCACTTTCATGGAACCTTTAAAGCAATAAAGCTCTAAATCTAGATTTTTAAAAAATAATATATTACATTTCCCCATTCTACCATCAAAATCGCTAATACACACTTATTCGAAAAGGGTTTATGATTAATGAACTTATACTTTCGGATTTTATGTATGTATTGTAGTTATTATCAAGGGAATGGAACTTAAACGTTAGTTTCACTTAGTAATGTGTACGTGTATGTGCTGTATACTGTACCACAATGTGAATTCTAATGTATAATGAACAGCTTGATATACGGCAGTATTTTTTCATAAATAAGGTCACTATTTATAGATGTAAATGGTTTATTACACCTATAATTTGAATCCTAAATAAAGATAGTCACTATCGTGGAACAATGCTAAGCGCGCCGGAAGCACTAACCTGTTAAAAAGATAACTAAAACGCATAATTGTATCAATAATTATTAGTGAATTAATGTAATGAGCTTAAAGATGTATTAATGTCGTTTTATATTAAAAAATTAATCTTATCACCTGACAATAACAGTATTTTTATCAGTTAAAATACCTTTCAGTTTTTAATCCCTCATAAATTACCGTATAATCAGGACACCGTTTTGAACGAAACACGGGCAGATTCTGTATAATCCTGAGCCCAGTATGCGATTGATTTTGACAGTATTTTTTACGATCATTTGTTTTTTAAACGATGCCATTATAAGCTCCTTTTAACGTTCTCTTTTGTTTTCACTGCAGGTTTCTCTCATATGCCCAGTTGTGACACCTGTTCTTAAATTCTTGCGTATTTTGTTTCTGCTTGTAGCTTCGATTTAACATTGCACAGAATCTAGTCTTATCTGGGGATCTGTAAATATTTTAAAGTAACCTGTTCTGAAACCCACAGGGGAACAGAAGGACAAAGCCGGTTTAAATGTTCTTTCATGCCTGTGATTGTAACCATATGTAAACCCCTGTATACTGTGGAAAAAAATACTGAGTTGCTGTTTTTAGATTAGCATTAAAGTAACGGCCTTAAATCCAAAACAAATTCAATGTAATAGAATTCTAAGAAATGAAACGTTATCGATGGAATGAGCGCCCCTAGATAGAACATGAATTGTTTAATCATGTTTTAGAATATGCACCATAAATAACATCACCTTACAGTAATTTGCACTACAGACGTCTCGTTACCACAGCAGTTGGTAAATCCTTCAGTCCTAATAAAATTATTCCGGGATAATCGTATGATGCCAACAGACATACAGAACTAATGTAAGAGTAATTGTATGTAATCGAATTGTTCCCGATTAACTGGAAAATGAAATTTCCCCTCTACGCTACGTCATAGAACGGTGTTCACGTTTATATGGGTATCTTACTGGTTTCCATTCCACACTGATATCATTACGTGATTGTTAAAACTCAGCTAGCGAATTACTTCAATTTGGTCTTTTGTAGACTGACATTGCAATAAATGATAATAATTATTATAATAGAAAAATATAGCAAAAGCAAACTATATGATAGTCCTTTTCTGAAATTCTTATCGCATGTGAAGCAGGTAAGTTGAACATAAACCTTACACAAAAAAGAGTTCAAACTCAAAAACAGGCTTGGATTTCATAGAACGCGAATTAAAAGTTTTTAAAAAAGCGTTCAGCTACACACAATCTTTAAAGGAAACCAGTCCTTATCGGCATTTTTAACAAATTCCACATTTTTGGTAGGGTGGAATTTAGTACTCTATTATAAATATCTATTATAATATCAATAAATTGCCTGTATTGGTTTTCCTGATTCGGATCTGGCCAAATATTCAAATTCTATATCCTTAATTTTACTAGGCTACATTCCCGGTTAGCAATGGATGTAATAAATTCACAACCATCCATCTGTTCCTCTGCCTGCTCAGAATTTCCAGATGAATAACAAATTAAAGGCAGTTGAATTCCGTCACTGTGATTATCAACCTAATTACATAATTGAACTTCAAGATGCGAAACAGGTAACTTTTATACATGTTTAGCAAATACTTGTAGTGACAACATACGTCCGTAAAGTGAATGTTAGACTGACGCACGGTTTCAGGTTTTGTAGTAATTGTGTCGCTAACTACGTAGCATGTTCTCGAATGACCGAATGTATTCCAGAATAATAGTACCCGAATTCAAACAATTTAGAATGGAATTTCCTTTTCTATAATGTGAGCATGTGCATAGCGTGTCACGTGGTTTTCCTGTTCTAAATTCAATGTAATTTTCATTCTATAGATAATAATAATAATAATAATAATAATAATAATAATAATAATAATAATAATAATAATAATAATAATAATAATAATATCTTTATCTTACCTGGAAATATTCAAAACACTATTGTCGACACAGCAGATATCATATTAACGACCTGTTTTTACACTGCGGTTGTGTTGAGATGCAAAAAAAAATAAAATTATGAGGAAAATAAGTCGGATGCGGAAATGAATACGTTACAAAAAAAATCTCGGACACGGGTTCCTATTTGAGCACGCTAATGGTACTTCTGTGACTCTATTAAGGATCCAGATCTTAGTAGGACCAACATACTGGTTTTATTTTAAAATACATTATATTATTAAACAAAATGGTGACTATAGGTTCCATTGGGATACGGAATTTAGAAGAACATCAAAGCAAGATATTTTTTTTAACAAAGTGCACCCTGTTGCAAAAACAATATTTTCAAATTCGTAAGGTCTAATTCTTGTCTTGCAAGATTCTGACAAAACCTCTTTTGAAAATTGTGCCGATTGTATATTGCTTCTAGTTTTAAGTTTGCGTGTTCAGTTTTCCTTGACGTTTACTTGATGTGTACCATACCCAGTTCCGTATTTCACCAATCGTGTAATTTCTAACACGTTGAAAAAAAAGAGAGCATTTTTACTACTCGGTAAAAAGACAACGATTTTTTATTTAAATAACATCAAAGACTTCTGTACAGGTTGGGATTGTAAGTCTTGCTTGAGCTTCCCTGACTTTGCTCTGCATCCTTCTCAGTCTTCACAGGGTAGTTTTGTCAGAATCTCTGCTCCTTTTGATGTGATGACTACAGTGTGCTCAAATTGTGCTGATCTAGGAAAAAAGGAAAGTGATACATTAGGCACTGATTAGCAGGAGGGAAAAAAAAACCAACAGGAGGATTTATGCAATGGTCTGTTTTAACACTTGTCAAACTTTACTTGATGTCATGTCTGCAAAGGAAAAGGTAGAGCACAATGAAAGGTAGTGAGGTTAAGTAATGTATGAGGCAGTTTTAGTCATCACTGCCTCCCCTATTGCTTGTCACCTAATCTGCCACTAACCAGAGAAAACTGCTCTGTATTATCTATGGAAAAAGCACAATGCTTTAGATTTAATGTTCTAAATCATATGAATCTATGAGACTAATGCCATTTTAAACACCACAGAATCCATACAAAAAAGACCACTGGACCAATGCAGATGATTAATTCATGTTGTTAATGGGATCTAACTCACTAGCCACCTCGACCAGTTTTATTTCAACTGACAGGAGTGACTTCATCTTAGTTCATTACACTATATACTGAAAAGCAATGTTAAAATCTGAAATCAAGGCATCAAAGATGTTTGGAACTAAATATAATTGAGAAAAATATCTGTTATTAAAAGATCATAAATGATGGTTCCAATTACAGATTTAAATTATTATTATTAAAGTATAATTTCATGTTTCTATTTTGCTTTCCTTTTCAGAAAATACTTGTATTGAAAAGTCTAACTATGGTTGAAAAACAAAGCATAACATAATAACCTGGATATATATGAAAAAATATGTCAAATGCAAAACCCTGTCATCATGCATTAAAAAAGGTAAATGTTTTAATTGCACTTAGCAGAATTGTTAACTCTAGCATATTGTCTTGAACAGCATACAGTACTAGTTTACAGCCCCTAGGGACTATATTGTGCAGAATATTTGAATGCAACTACATTTAAACTCCATTGTGATTGCATTGCGATTTTCCACGACTGTAACAGAACAGTGTTTTATATGTCATGACTAAGTACACTCTAAGACATAATCTTCTGAAAGCAACATGATTAAGGAATAGGTCTTAAATTAAGCACACACAGAGTACTAGAAACAAAATGAGCCTCGTCCCTTAATGAGATATTAAACACAAAAAGTGATAATTTCTTAATTTTGCTCATTTAATCACACTGTTATACACACAGTGTAATTAAAGTGCAGCAGAACGAAACTGAAATAAGGGTAGCTGATGAATTTTAAAGGTAGCTGTAGTGTATGGGGATGACCAAGATGCTCAGTGATGCTGTGGTTTGACATGGGACCCAGCATCTCAGGTATACGGGCTCTTGCTGATGAACAGCTTAAGAAATACAACACAAGTCTCTAGGGAGGAGGTCTTTTCTCAATAACCAAGGATTTTTCAGTTTTGCATAATATGTTGATCACTCATCTATTCTTAAGAGGATTTGGAGTCTGAGCGACTGATAGGCAAACGCACCATAAAACACTTACATGACAGGAGGTTTCTCACAGCTTAGACAGTAATCACACATTCAGATTGCTCAATTTCAATTTATGAGAAAAAAAGCCTCCCGAGCTTGAAATCACATGGCCAGTATAAACTGTATATAAAACCCCTTTTACCTTTTATTGTCAACAGAAACTGCAGTCCACTTATCTTCTAGGATTTTAAACTCAGATGACCCTTCCATCAGGATGGGCTCTGTATTTAAATAATAATAATAAAATAATAATAATTATAATCATCATCATCACACAATATTAGATATTATGCTTTGTGCAAAACAGAATAAATGATTTCAGCAACTGCTAAACTGTTAGGAGACATTTTTTATTGAAGTCTCATTGTTCACAATAAAAAAAGGTAAATATTGCTTCACCACATGTCTATGTAAGAATAATAACAAAAATATTGTAACCATTATTTGAGGCCTATACCAGATTTCTAAACAAGCCCATATCAGGAGACTAAATCAAGATATCACATTTTGTGTATTATACACGGAAATGGCCAAATTGCTTTAGAAATGAAAGTTGTGTGAAATTAAAACTATAGTAATTGATTTGTGATCAGGGCCCATTATGAAAACCAACAACTGCTGCAAGATCATTGTATTAATAAAAAGCTGCAATTATTTTCAGTCATCAGCTTTAAAACAGGCTTTGCATTAAATACTGTAGTTTCAGGTGACTAGAAATAACTATTTTATTGTATGGTGCTTTACAATACAGTGATGTGTATTGTAAAGGACTGGTGGCAGTTGTGTAAAATTTTGAATCATGCAGTGCAAGTATACTAAACAAAAAATATTACAGATATTTCTTTAGGCATAACGCTAATAATAGAAATTACTGACCTATTGTGAAAGCCATGCCTTCCTCCATCAAAATGTCATTTTCATTGACTGCAGAAAGAAAGAATATATATCATAAAACAGTTAGCTCTTTCTAAATATAAATGTTTTTCAATGGGCCTCACATTATAGCATGCAGGAAATTGTATTTTAACCTAAATGCATTTGAATGTTTAGGTTACTGCCAGTTTGAAATTTATGGCTTGCCTTTCCTATACTGCATTTGAAACAAAAAAGGCAAAAAGTCATTAATAATGTGTGTGTCATTTTTTTATCCATAGACACAGTGTGAGTATAACCTATACTAACACTTTTCAAGTAATCGTTCTGTAAATCTGTGGTTTTATAATCAACGTCTATTTAGCAATTGTATGTAAATGGCAAAGCTGAAGAAGACTGCAATTTAACTCAAGGGGAGGTAATTCCACAGGTTTGTAGTTATGTACTGTATGCTTGTTGAAAACACCAACTACCATGTCTTGGTAATGTACTGATAACACAGACTTTCTTCCAGGTACAGCCAACTTTGCTAAGACAGCCTAACGAGTTACCTGAACGAAAATGTTTTGTTATTCCCAACTGCAGGTTCTGAGATTTCATTTCTTCACACTTTGGATCAGAGTTTTTAAGTGCACCAGTTTTGTTTCCACAACAAACAGTTTCTGTCTATGTGACCTTCTGTAAAGACTCTTGGATCTGTGCCTATCTAGAAGGAAAATGAGTGATGTGATCACTGACTTTTACCTCCAGGAATAGATCTGATTTTTGACCAGAAACAACAGCCACATGAATTGTGTTCTGGTGGTCTCAACTAATTTCTTCATGGGCGCAAGTATTTTTACAGTTCAGAAAAAACAATGACCGAAAACTGAAACCAAGTGCAGATGTGGTGTTTCTACAATTCTTAAAGGACACTGCTCTTCGATGATGGCTTTACAAAAGAAGCATGATAGAGAAAAAATAAGAATAAAAATTATACTTCAGGTCAAACACATAAACTGTTGTAGTTCAAGTAGGTATCTACATCAGCATGCGTAGGCTGCAAAGGAACAAGTCCAGTTTTATTTCATGCTGAAAAGAGAAGAAAATAAAAACTTTTTGGCTGTGGAACACCCGAAGAAGGCTCCACAGCTGGAACATTGTGTTTCTTTTCTTTTCAGCATGGAATAAACCTGTACATAAACTGTTATGCTGAGCTTCATCGGTATTACCAACTTTGGTAAAATAACAACAGGAAATACATTTAAATAGACGTTTCCAGTCTTTCAAATTATATTTTATAGTAAAAGATGCCATAATGATGGACTATTTTTGGTAAATTTAACAATGAAAACTTGGAGATAACTCAAAGAAAGTGACATAAGACCAATTTTATCCTTATGGGTACAACACAAACTACAATTTAACTGAGTTCTGGCTTCCATAACCAGAACACTTTAAAATTTAAAGTTTAAATTGAACATGTTTTATAAACACTACAGGTCACTGAATTAATACAAGCTTAATGTTTTTCAAATTAAAACTGGCCTCACCATTTAGACTGGATGGTTGTACAAGTTCAAGACATACATACAACATACTGATTCTTGCAAAGGGAGAAAAGGGAGACAAAATATGCTGATAAGTATAAAGCAGAAATTGTTCATTGATTTTAATGTGCACACTGCTCTCACTATTGAATTCTTGAATGTCATGTGGCAATTTGTAAATGCACTGTAGGCCAAACACGTCACAGATCATGTACATCTTACCATGATGCCATATTTCAGGGTGACCATGGAAGTAGGTTCCAATCCCATGACCAATGAAGTATGGGCAGACTTGCAGTCCATAGGAATTAGCTCTCTGACTATGGTTTAAACAGAAAATTAAGAACATAAAAACTTAGTTGTGTAAAAAGCAAAGTACCATGTAAATTCTCAAAACAGATAAAAAAAAATAATCAGCTTAGACTTAAACAAATTGGTGCCGTGAGCTACTATTTGTGTATTCAGGAACCATTATTTATAGGTCTGGAGCAGTTTTGCCTGTTTGCCAGATTCAACATTTCATTGTGTTATACTTGGAAACATTCAATTGACTTGATCAAAAGGCTACAAATCTCAAACAAGCCCAAAAGCACTTTTTTTTCTACATTCACATTCTTTGGCTTAAACAATATTTATTATAGTACAGAAAACACTGATTGCTGTTCCTACTGTGATGAATTTAAACAGACAAGAAGCAGTTCTCACTCAAGCTAATCGGAAACGCTATAAGGAGACCATGTGATTTATTACTAATAATAACAATAATAAGGAATTACAAGTAGCTACATACATGCTGCAGCATCTTTATGTTATGCTTATTAAAAATAATTTGAATTAAGAGCACATCTTTAAAATTTGTACTTTTTTAAAGTACAAAGCAAATTAAATAAAAAACAAACATCAAATGGACACTAGCACTGCAGCTATAAAGAATCCTGGCAAAATGAAATACCTCTGGGCTTTACCATGTATGTTTTATAGACAAGCAGACTGAAGAATTTCAAAAGGTATTTAGTAGGTCTTATGTTCCTCCTGTGTTTTTAGTTTGTGTATACAGAACCTTTTCCAGCATATAAGATGTGGAACCATTCAAGAATCACAGCAGCTGCTGGTGAAGCAGTGCTACTTGGGGCTAAATTGTGCCAGCACAATGAGAGGGCTGGGTGTATTCTCTACACGAGTATCTCCAATTTCTGTGTTCTTGCAAAAATTAATCATGTTTCTCACCAGACAATTAAATCGCCAAAAAACTGTAGCACAGGCATAGACACTTTTGTCTCAATTTAGAATGTTTGAGCATGTACATGAGCGAAAATCACAGGTAGTCTTCTGATGAATGCCAGCATCTGTCTGTAATATTATTTTAAAATGATTATTGTTAGAATGTGATCCAAGAAGACTATAGATGTATACAAGAGTCTGGCTAGGAAGAATTACTTTTTGTATTTGAACATCTCACAAGCCAGATGTGTGTCCAAAGAGCGAACAAGGTTCAGGATAGTTTGCACCGCATCTCTTATGCCTGGAAGAAGACAAACGAAACCTCTGCCTAATCTTCGCTCTGCATCAGAGACTGCTGGATTAAAAAGGATCCAACTGCAAAGCAGATGGACCTACTGAAGGGGGTCTTGAATAGCTGTCCAGAATTAAATTTGTATGTTATTTTGTTCCTATTTTATGTAGTAAAGAATGCTTGTCCTAATAAAGTCTTGAATGAGATGAACTCATACTGGTCCATTACTACTGCCTATGTCTGAATTCAACTTGCACATCAGCACAAGAAATAATATTATGAAAATGTCAATTGTTCGACAGAAGGAAAGGCTGAACATGCAACATTCAAAACACCCTCCTTCCATTTCAAAGAATATACACCAATAATCACAATAAAACAAATGGTGAAAATATATAGGAGTAATACAGTATGTATATTATCAAATGCCCCTTTCTTGTATTGGAATTAAAGTCTTATTAAAGGTAACTTTCAAAGATAACTCAATGGTGACTTTCACCTGGCATATCTCAGTTTCGTTGCGCCCATCTGCATAGCTCAGACAAACACCTGAGCGTTTGAACTGTCATCAGAATAAAGGTTAGTGCAAATTCATCTCAGCACAAGCCCTGTGGATCCCACACTGTGGTTAATCGCAGTTCAATGGGAGTCTGTGAAAGATGCTGCAGTAAAAACCAATACAGTCTACCTATTACAAAACCAGCAGGGGTCAGAGCACACTGGAAACCATAACACCTGCCTGAAATTGGTCTAAAAACGACCAATTACCTTTGAGTTAGACATTGTGGAAAAAGGTGTTTCAATAAATTGCTAGCACTTAATGCATCAACTGCGTATAAAGAAACCAGTTGCAAATATGAGCAAGCTCGGGTTTTCAGTTGCTGCCAGTTAGCAAAACCATCAGAAAGGAAGGTATTGCTTAAAACAAACCTGGCTCCAAATTAAAAAAAGGGGCTGAAAAATGAAATAAACACCGTCTCAAGAAAGGAGTAAAAAATGTAATAAAAGCCATGGCTTTTTTTGTTTCGAGCCAGCCTTTTGGCATAGCGAATGAGCACTGCACAAGGGGAAAAAAGATCCTTACAGGGAAGGCTGTGTCAACTAGGTATTTGGTTTTTTTTTCCCCCGATCTTTGTAACATAGCCTGATTAAATGGAGAACATGTCTCATGAAATGCATTCTCCCCTAAATGAGAAGCATGCAAATTTCCCAATTAAATACTTAGCTGTATTAGGGGCCGACTGGAGTTCAGCTGCATCCACGCCTTCAGAGTGGCACCCTCTTTAGTTTTTTTGTAAAGAGTTAAGTCGCAAACAAAGAGAGGAAGGAGGTCAGCACCCAGTCAACACCTGAATGTGAGTTTTTTTTTGTGTTCCCCTTGATCCACATAGTGCACGGTGTTATTAGCTTTAATGATGGAAAATTGTAATGTTGATACAAGTCTTTTTTTTAAGTAGTAGGCGGAAGCTCCATTTATTACTAAGTTCTTTGTGACTAAAAGCCGTGGACAGTACATTTATGCTGCAGAAAAAAAGGCCTAGATGCTCTTTCCATAGCACAGCTAATTATTCCTACTGTGACCTTAATGATCTGTGCTGTTCCCTCCACATCTCATCCACGCGCCTACCCCTCTATGGAGGATAGTGTCAGGGAATATGAAAAAACCTATAATGAAACCATTTTCATGATGGAGAAAGGCTACTGGAGCTGCACTTGCTACAAAGAAGGCTCAATTATATGAGTAATTGTGATAATTTTCCCCATTCATGGCCCTTTCTGAAAGAAAAAAAAATGAGAGAGACCTAGAAAGGAAAATTACTTGAACAATAAAGGGTGCAGAAAAAAAAAAGATGAGACGTTGAAAAGGGGGGAATGCAATGCTATATATATACATATATATTTTACACGCACACACAAACAGTGGAATAACCACAGAGAACAACAAAAACGTGATAAAAGCTGATATGCAGCTGTGTCTCAAAATTAAACATTCTTTTCCCTTCCTATTGATGAATGCATCTCCAGCAAATGTGCCTCAGTAGTTAGCTATCATTTGTTGTTCCATGACAGGAAAAGGATAATTACCTCTCAGAGAGAATCAAAAGGCTGACATGCCCTTTAGACACAGCCATGAATGCAGAGCTTGATAGAATGCTTGAGTAAGAATGTAGTGCTTTCCCCTTTCTTTAGTGGAGAAAAAATTTTGTTAGACAGAATACAAGAACACCACCAGCAAATGCATTAAACCCTGGGTGTTCAAAAATATGAGGTGCCTCTGTCTATCAACTCTTTCCATTTGCAAAACTAAAACTGCATTCAAATTTCAATTCTATTATATTCACGGACAGGGAAGACAGTGAGATATGCATTACTTTTTTTGTTTCACAGTAGGGGTCGGATCCAACACTTCCTATGAAAGAATAGAAAGACGAGATTCCCTTCTCCTAGGAGGACTTAGCCTATAATTTGAATCTCAGAAGAAAAAAAAAAAACCCAATATGCTTCAATAATTGTACCCCACACATGGTCACAAGGGTATATTAACATTCTGCATCGATTGTAAGACTTAATGCTTTTGATGTATGGATTTACAGTATGTATGTGTCTGGATTTGTGGTAAAAATTGATGTGCCTAAATTGAAAGCTAATTGTACCTTCTTGTCAAAAAAAAAAGAAAAAGGCCTTATTAATCAAAACCATATTTTAGACATGCGATGGTCGGTAAAGCTTGTCCCTGAGGCAGAGAGATGGTCAAGACAAGCAAAAACAAAACACTGAATTGCATTTCTTCGTTGTGTATTTCCACTGCATCTCTTGTACAGCTGGATAAAGGCTAAATTACTACCTGTTTTTTACCCAATATATAATCTTAACTGCCTAAGCAATAATCTAGTCATTATATATATATATTTTATTAGTATTTTGCTTAATAAGTTTCAAATGTAAACCTGCACGTTATCAATTTTGAGCAGAGTGTAAAATAAACATTCCCTGTAAAAGTGATATTTATTTTGACACATCATACGCTATCCTCTCAAATATGTTTGCTGACCCCTTAGGCTTGCAATCTTTCAGAAATCTTTCTGAGCAAGGGAATGACATTACAGCCTGGCAGTTCAAATACTCATATCAGGCTAAAATGATGACTCTCTGTCACAAAACATGTCATCAGCTTTACCCCAAACCACCAATAACTTCTGTCCCATTTGCCAGTCCTTCCAGAGGCTGTCAGACCTCTCGCCTACCTGATTGTGTTTCCAATAATGCAGAGAGGGGCTCCTGGCTCACAGGCTGCGATCGCATCATTTCGGCACCTCCGCGCTGCCTCCACCAGGACTCTGCCCCGCTCATCCACATTACCAACCAGGAACGTCTCGGAGGTGTCACCATGGTAACCATTCAAATAAACCTGCAAGTTCAGGACTGTCTGTCAACAGGGATGTTATGATCAACCCTATCAATGTCTTTAAAACACACAAACACTGGGGAGACTTAAACGCGAGATGTGTCAGTACGATTAAGCAGTCAGAGAGCAGGAAAACAAAATTTCAAAAACAGACCAAGTGAAGGAACTTCACAGCCGACATCATGCTTCTGCTTGGTTTCCAATCAGCAGCAGTTAAAAAGTAAAACAAGTTTTACTTGGTAAACTGCCACCGAGTTGAAATTTTCCAATTAAATCTCTCTAAGACACATGACCATCTGTAAAAATAAGAAGGATCTAAGATCGAATGGCCTTATCTTTAGAACTTAAGGACCTGGTAAGATGGCACTTCATCAGGAACCATGTTGAAATTTCGGTGGTTAAGTTGTCAACGATTGTCACAAATCCATTCACAAACCTAATACAAAATTCATAAATAACTTTCCAATATCTTAAAACCTATCTGGCAACAATAAGGTATAAAAGTAATGATTTCTAGGAGGACAAGGTCAAAAATACATTTTACTCTAAACAGTGAGTTTTTCTAACTATAATCACACAGAATATTAAGAAATGTAGCTGATTAAACTCCTGGGTATTCAACTAAAGTAATAACTGGTACAGTTTTACAGCTACAGTTTTTAATAAAACAAACAGCAGCAACAACAGTAACAAGAATGTTTGTGATATAATAACTACAGCAAATGTTCACACCACATATACAAAGTATATTTGTCACACATGTAAGCATTTTTATTAAATATGTATGCATTTATACATGTAAGTATAACTGTACCTTCTATGTAAATTAATACCATAATTAGATCTTGCTAGTATTTTCTTTCCAGAATACTGCTCAAGTGCATTTAAAGTGTTATCTGAAATCCTGTTCATTCTGCAAAATATTTACTGCAATGTCACCTTAATTTCATACCAGTAGTGCTGTATTCAAAACAGCAATAAAAGCAACTCTACAGATGTGGACATGTCTTGTATGGTTAAAAACTGCTCAGCATCAGATTGCTGTAACAGTGACATTGTCCAGATAGGCTGAAATTTGGTTGATGTGACCACAGACACGACAGTCAGTGAAGTCAGGCTGATTTACATTAAAACATCAATGATTGCAAGTGGCAAAAGCTGCTGAAGAGGTCTTCAATGCAGAGAGTCCTTAACAGAGTCAGGAAATGAGAAGCAACTGATTTGACTTCATGTTGGATGTAAAAAAAAAAGAAAAGAAATTGCCTGTTTTGAACCGACTCAACATTAAAACGTGTAAAGAACCAGAGACTAATTTGCTAATAATACCCTTAAACTAAGATGTTTTACTTCGTTAATATTTAAGTAAAAGAAAAGGACCGTGGTAAAAAGGATGAGTAGTGTTATGATGAAAGACATTTAAACAAAGCAAATAAAACAGATATGTCATTAAATGCTGAGAACCTAACCAGGAAAAGAGGACCAAAAATATCTGGATATATGGATGAAGTCATTTACATTTCCAATATTTTTTTTTATTTTGATTTTTACCTGTATTTGTTTTCAAAATATACTTTTAATAAGGATTAACAATGAGTGTTCTACAAAAGATGAACATGTTACTTTCTTCACCACCAGTACTTTATAATTAAAGATGTTTAATTTATAAATGATTAATGGTTAAACTACTTATCTCTGAAATTTTTCACAGTTTACCATTTAAGATCTATTTAATTAATTTAATCTCCGTATCGCTACACATTTTCACATTCATCTGGGGGTACAAACACTATCCATATCTAAGATTATTTCAGGCAACTGTTAGTGACAATGGAATATCTCCTTCTCCATAAATTGAATGAATGCAGAGTGAAAGGAACAGGGTTTTTAAAAACTCATCCTTTTAACCAGAAGCGCACAATTTCTTTGGTAAAAAATACTTCAAGACAGTTGTCAAAATGTAGACTTTTTTTTTAAAAAAAAAAGACATCTTTAGTCAAATTTCTTGGCATTTGTCTTTGGCATTATTAAGCCCCAGAAAATGTTATACCTCTTTCGCAAAGCAGCGAATTTGCCAGTTTTAAATTACTTTCCGCATGAACACAGCGAACACAAAAAAAGCAATTGCTGCAGGAATTTAACTATAAAGGGTTCCGACTTTTTATTTCCCTGTGACTCCATTTCCAGTTGTATACATTATGTGAGTGCTTGACTCAGTGCGTGAGAGAGAGTGGGAGTGGGCGGTTGTGTGAAGCGATGTCCTGTGAGGCAGGTAAAAGCTCATTAGAGGGCTCTTCCCTTCACGGCTTTCACCTCATCGGTGACCTGCAAGGACCACCCCTGTCAGCTGAGAGGGCAGTTCATTCTTCTTAAGCACTCAATCCAGGGCCTCTGTTGAGAAATGATTGCCAATTGTGCCAAACTGTGTAATGGCTTTGTCATGTGGACTAGGGACTCAAGTGAAACACCAGAGCAACTCTAGCTTAACAGTGGAGGAAAAAAAAAAGAAAAAAGAAAAAGAAATTGCTACAACGTTACAGGAAAACACATTTGCCTTCCCCTCCACTCTCGCCCGCTCTTCGGCACTATCTGCCAGCTAAGCACTGCCCAGGACGGGCAAAGGGTTAAGGTGTTCATAACGGACTTTGAACACAGCAAACCGTCACAGATTTTAATAAATGTAGGGAACACTACAAGGGAAAAGTGTTGCTGTCTAAATAGAGTGACACATACAGGCCAAGGCTGTCAATGTAGCCTCTAATGACAGAGTAAGATAATGACAGACCCCACTCAGAATCAGCAGGAAGAGGAAGATCAATCTCGGCAGAGTGAAGGAAAAATGCCGGCTTTTTTCACGTTAGCTCATCTCATACATATCTATCTGCGGCAGCTGCCCGACACTGTGGAGCTCTGCATTAACTACACAGTGGATCAATAACAATTACACCTTCTCCAAAGCATGACACATAGCAGGGATAGGGCTGACATTTCACTCAGGACAGCATTGATCTCAGTGCATCTGATTCCAGACCCAAATTCATGTCAGACCCGGGGTCTGGCTAGAACGAACACAGAATGAAAAGCACAGAACAGAAAGATGTAACCAACTGCTTGGCCTGTACCTCACAAGTAAACAGCACACCCATCTGCACATTCCACATTTTCAATCTACTGTTTTTCCTGTCGCTACCGGCAATTCAAATGGAGATCAAAGATATGTATATACAGTGTGTGTGTGTGTGTGTGTGTGTGTGTGTGTGAAATACTCACTGTGACATCGATGTTGATGATATCTCCATCTTGGAGTGGCCGACTGAAATTTCAAAGCCGTGAAAAATAAAGATTTTTAAACAGTGGCGAGAGACAGGGAGTTTCTAAGAAAAAACGAACACCAGATAAACACAAAAACAGCTAGCCGGGCAAAATTAGCCCAGCAATTAAAGTTAATTTTTACAAACTGTCCACTGGGATGAAAGATTTTAATCTTGAGATCAGTCTGTTCACTGATGGTAATCAAATAAAATAGAAGGGGTGGCACTGCTGGAAAAAAATACAAAGTCTGCTTAATCACATGTCTGAGTCAGGGAAACGCCTTGATTTATTTGTGCCACTTTGAAAGCATCTGACTACGTACGTATATACACACATACAGACTCAGCTTTAATTATGCAGCACTCAAATTACCGCTTGCAACATTATTTCAATTCGACAAATATGTGCAATGCTGCCCTCAGTGGTGTGAAAAAATCAAGACAATCCTCGTGACAAACATGCATTCTCCACCTGTCAGTATCATGGATTGCCATGCTTATATGCAAATCATTACAGGAGGTGGGACATGCGATTTTAGATGAATGTGACAGAAAGACAATTCACCAAAGGCAAAGCCAGCATTCTGTTAATTTTAAATACTAAAATATATATGTTCTTAGAAAATATTCCTTTATCCACCCTACCCCCCCGAAAAACAAATAAAAGACAAAATAATAAAACAACTACCGTATAAATACAGATGAACTAAAATTTCAGAAGAACACTAAGCCCTGCGGTCTTTTTCCTTAGCCTTAGATAATTCTGTGTGTTCAGAACAAACGCATAACTATAATGCCTACCATCACGATAACTACTTTTGAATCCACAATGGCAATCCTATCATTATCAGGGGGTTTCCCGGCCAAGCACAGACTGCAGTATTAAAAAGACGTGAATACCTGTCAGGTATACCGTGACATACCACATTGTTCACAGAGGTGCAGACTGATTTTGGAAAGCCTCCATAACCCAAAGGAGAGGGATAGGCATTGTGCCTGATTGTTTCTTGATGAACAATACAGTCTATTTCTTCAGTCGTCATGCCAACCTGAAACCGGGGGAAAATGTTACAGATGACAAAGTTTTCAAATACGACTTTCAAGCAAGGAATCATTTTGCCATCTCAGCTTCTGAAGCATCAGTGCCATTTTTACAGTTGAAAAAAGACACGTAGCGTGTAGCCATCTTTAAGACAAGCAGTCTCGTACCGTGGACATGCAAACGCAAATAAGGGATGTGGAAGAAGTGGTGTCATCTGGCATCAAATGGGTTAATAACACTTAGAAGAAAATAGTGATATTCGAGTCAGACAATGGCCAAATGATAATCTAAAACAGCACCGATTCTTACGAATGTTTATGTTTCACTTCCATGAAGAAAAAAAATCATCCACTTTCACTCGAATGGAGTTTATTTCGTGGACTTCGCAACTGTAGATCATATTACACACCCTTGACTGACAGCTTTCACTTTTTTTTATTTAATTCCACACAAGGCACTTGACTAAAATTGAAATTTAATTTAAATAAAGCACAATAAACAAGCCGACGTCCTACTGCTTCTTAGATATGCTGAAAATGTTTGTCCCAAGTTTATATAATTTGTAAAATTATACAAATTTGTCCATCCAAAATATTTTCTGTATACGATATAATGTACATATAGAGTACAATAACTGTTCAGAAACAAGCACCGTGTTTTAATACTGTAAAGTATAACATAAAGCTTCCCATACAGGTAACATAAAAAAGCACAAGTCTAGTCTAATCTGCTGTAAATTGTAATTGTATGCTGCAGAAAATTAAAAGCAAACAAGGTTAAATTCTAAAAAATTTCGAAGTGATGTATTGGAGTATTACCAAAATATGTTTGCATAATGTGTATAAGATTAAGCGGGCATGCTCAAACCTCATGTTTCTGAGTACACTTGAAAATAAAATTCTGAATTTGCAATAATGTTCAGTTAGCCTTCTAGTTTAACTTCTAGTTAATCGCAATTTAAAAACAGATTAGAATTTCTGACCCTTGCATCATCTAATGAAATCTCTAGATTTTTAAATCTACACACATGTAATAAAACTATGCAAATGTTCCGAGCTGTACATCACTACTACAAATGCATTTAAAGCAGTCTCGTCTCTCAGGCTGCTGCTTTAGCTACAGTATGAGGGAGATTAACGGTTTAACAAAATATTCTCTTGTTTGACATCATCTAGTGGGGATTAACTGGTTTGTTTTTTTCCTCTGTGCGTTTAGCAGCAGACGCACAAACACATAAGCCTTTATGAACGTCTGCAGCGCTCTGAAGAGTACCTTCACGCTCCTCCCAGCCAGAAGCAGGATGTGGCGCGCCAACTGACAGGCCTGTCGAAGCCCCTGAATCTGATCTTCATCTTTAATTTCTATGTAGTCTCCCCAGTCTGGTATAATGCCTGTCGTCACATAGTCTGGCTTCATTATGTGCTTGAAGAAAAAAAAGATTGTACATGAAGATGAGAAAAGGCCAGGCGTGACAAAGGGATCATTTTGTGTGCTGGTGGCTCCTGCTCTGTGGCATCTTGCCCTCTGTGTCCCAGCCTGACCCCAGCTGTGCTTGAAGGCAAGACCCTGGGTTCTCATGATGTTCCGTCACTGGTGTCCCTTCACTGTACTATCTGCGCCGAGAGGCTCTCACATAATGTTAGTTTTGCACAAAATTACTACCCAGAGTCAATTTTGTTCGGTGCGCAATGTTTTTTTTAAAAAAAATTTGTCCCTGGTACCTAAAATAAGCCGGTGTCAGCCCCATCTGAAAATATTTACTGTTTGCGTAAGGTGGCAGAATTGCTTTCGACTTATCCAGGATGTCACATGAAATCCTCGAAAAAAAATAAACCAAATGTCAAGAGCCCATGTAAGTTCAAGAAAAAAAAAATCAGTTTTATTACTACAGAAATCACACCAACAATAAATAATAAGCAAGTATGACAAGATTAATGAAACATCTCACGGCCAGTCTAAAATACACTTATGACTAGTGTCTTCAGTGACTTTATTGGCCTCTTACATCCTCTAAAGTCTGGAAAAATTACTGTAATTGTCCTGTTCGGCAATTGACTTCAAGTTTTAGGAACTAATATAAAATAGGATGTCGGCTCATGGCTGTTACTTTCTAGGAAAACACCAAATGATTTCACGTTTGTTAACAACAGCTGCAAAAGGGGTAATTTTTAGGCACCTGAGGAACAGGGTGGGCGGGCCCTACAACAGCTGGCTTTACCACGCTGTAAGAGGAGCTCTCCTGTCTTCTCCAGAAGAAACACCTGTGCTGCTGAAGGGAATGCTGGCTCTTCCAGACACTGGCTCCTTTCCGAAAGAGCACAGCACATCCTGAAAGACAAGCAACATCACATCAGAGAGGTTCGCCTTCCCTGTTCAAAGCTCTTCTGCCATTTTGAGGCCAGCTGTACAGGTGACAGTGAGCCTGCTGCTCTTAGGTGCTGTTTCGCATCCTAGAAAGTATGGCGAGTTTTAATGCATTTTCCCTTACCTTGAATTCATTACCGTCTGCAAATTGTGCTCTTTTCCTATTGCTTTCTCTTATAGTATAAAATTCCCATTTCTATGTCTCATCACAACAACCCACAAACATAGAAAAACCTCAGGCAATTCCCCTCTGACGCTATGAAACAACTTTGACAAAAAAGCTTTTTTGATTACCCCACTAAACTGCAGGGGTTAGCTCAAATGTACCAATTTGGTATGCAAGTATTCTGTTTTATAGTGTTAAAATATCAAATAATGCAAACATTCCCATGGAAAACCCTGTTAGCTCATAAACCTTTTTTTTTAAATTAAATGTCCTGTAAACTGACATTAGATCATTACAAAGGATTTAATGACATAAATACAACGGGTGGCGTGTATGCGTACATACAAAACCAAAAAGTTAAAAATCATTAGCACTGGCGGGCGCACGACCAGCCTGACTTGTTTAAACTCCATTTTGCACGAAGACAAACTGCAACGATGGAGCATGAAAAAATACAAAATAATGAGGAAGCAGCCTGCTAGCAAAAAAGCCTCAGTGGTCATAATCAGTATGAGTACATGGGAGCACCCTGGAGGGGAAAAGCCTGTGATCTTACAAGGGCAATCAAGACCTGAATGGAAACCCAGTAACATAGCAGACACAGCTTAACAGCGCAAGGCTGTGCCAGTCAGCATCCTGGACACACTGCAGGCCTCATCATTACTGCTTAACCCCTTCAGTGCCTGGGGCATACTCCTGCACTGTGCATGTCATTACATCACTGGGATTCAATCAGACTTTCGGCAAACAGCAGCAGGAAACGCGCTGAAGCTGGGCTTGTAAAAGCTTTTTTATGTTTTGAGGACAGCAGACATGTACTGTTTCTAAGAATTGCCACTACAGCAAACAGTGAGCGGGGACTACATTTAATCCAGTGGTGATGGTACATTTTGGCTGCCGGTTTAAATACGTGGTTTGCGTTTTACATTGAAGTTTCCAAAAACCAGACTGAAGAATGGAGAAATTCAAGAAGCACACCAGTAAAGACCACATTACTGCTGCAATCAATGCAGTTTGTAATACATCACTATTGTGAGTGAGCTTTGTCGTGGTTTCGTTCACATTTCATCACTTTACTACTACACAGTACTACATTACTGCTACATGTCATATAATACACACGTGTGGATTATACAGAAAGAAAGAGAAAGGAACAATTAAAAAATAGACTGCTGGCTCATGATTTCTTACTTTCTTTTAGATTTTAAGGGTTTTGGTACATAGGGCCGCCGAAGAAAGGAAGAAATAAGCAATACTGTCTTACAACACAGTGAAACGTTTTACCAAGGGTGGCATTGCTCTGACTCCTTCTGGTCAATGTAATCAAGAGCCCTTCACCGCAGGTAGGGTCAGTGTGAAATGTTGACTAGGGACCTTCTGATCACGCACATTCCTGGAGCAGGGCATTGCCCTGTTCAAAGGAAGGCTAAAACAACAACCTGCAGTTGACCACACATTAAAATCAGCGGTTTTCTGGATGAAAAATACAAAGAATGAAAAATGGGTTTAATTTGCCCAGGGGGTCCCTACCCCTCAAGTAAAACTCTATCGGACGCAAAGAGCACTTAGGGTTTACCTGAGGCTGACCTTGGATGCAAACAACAAGCTGTAGACCCTGACAGGGCTGGCCTACAGCTAGGAGAAGTCAATGGGAGAGCCCAGGTTTTATCAAGATGATCAACACTCTGTATTTCCTCCTCCGTGTAAGTCTGTCTTGCAGTTTTGGTAAAAATGCAGGAAATGCAGGGAGAAAGAAACTGCCCGGACCCTAAGCATTTGTACTAGTAAGCTTTTCAAAGACACCCCATGTCTAATCCCCCATCAAAACCTCCTCCAGCTGAACCACACTTTCCTCACCCACTGTATATGCTGTAAAGGTAAATTCAAACACTAAACCAAAGCTTGTTTTTACAATGTCACTCACCACCAAATTTGAAATGCACAGTATTTAAAATTACATTTCCTCTCAAATACTGATGGAGGTTTTAATCCCTTAAGTAAAAAAATACACAGGAGAAAAAGTTTAGCATTCTTTTAAAATAAGTGTTAAAAGGAGATGTGGAGCCCCTGGGATAAAATCCCCAAGGTGGGAAAGATTCTGTAAGTAGCGTTTCCTTTCCACACAAAATCATTTTATCACTGTATTTCTTCAGCAAAACCAAAGAGCTGCATCTTTACAGGCAAGATGATACACCAACATCATCAGTCACATCAGGCGTCCACAACCAAACCCACCCCACAACATTTTGTTTTGTACTGCAGTTTTTAGCCTCACAACTGAGGGAAGCAGGCAATTGAATTAAAAAAAAAATTACTCGGCAAGAAACTGAAAACTGGTTGGAAAATTAGAAGCCAAAAAAAGAATATAAACTTGAAGGAACAAGTAATAGGTTTATTCCATGCTGAAAAAAGAAGATAAGAAACACAACATTTCAGCCATGGAGCCTTCTTCAGGTGTGAGAGAGACAGGGCAGTAAGCAAAATTAATTACCTTTGCTTACTGCCTCTCTTTCTCACACCTGAAGAAGGCTCCATGGCCGAAACGTTGCGTTTGCTTTCTTCTTTTTTCAGCATGGAATAAACCTATTACTTGTTCCTTTGCAGCCTACACATGCTGACGCAGCTACCCACCTGGACTATAAACCTGAAGGCTGAGGCAGTTGTTGTATTTCTGTCAGACTGATAAATATGAAACAGTTTATTAACACTCCAGATTGTTATCCCCTTCTAAGCTTTCAAAACATATTCAGTAAGTATGTAACATTGTAGAGAAGGATGTGATTTGATTTACAGTGATGTGCAAACCTGAGACTTTACTATATGACATTACAGCATTGAGGATCCATTCTAAAACACTTTACCCTAACATTGCAAAATTGACAACGTTTGAAAATAGGAAAGGAACTTCCAAGATATATGTCGAGTTAAAACGAGGTGGTGCTAGGAGCTTGACATGTTTCTCATACGAAAGAAGTATGCTTTTGTAAAGATGCCATCAGAAAACAACACGAAAGTCTCCTACTGGTTGCAGTAATGCTAGACCTGGGTAATTTGGGCAGGAATAAAGAATAAAAACCTTTATGGTTATAAAAAGAGAAAGAAAAATGCATGCCTGAGAGCGAAAAAAATTACATTGTCTAAGGAGAAGAGGTTGGTTTAACAGCAGCATGTGAAACACAGAAATGCAGCAGTCCTCATTGGGTTGGCCATTTACAGTGAGAAGGAATGCTTGACAAAGAAAAATATGGTCAATTTGAGTTTTGGTTGAAAATTCAGATCCACAGGAGGATAAACCTGGATAAGCCGCTGTACGATTCTTAACTTTAAAAAGAAACCATCCAAGGAACAGGCACTTGCAACCTCCTTACCTCCACTTTTTTACCTCCTAGCTGGGTCAGGTCCAAGCCCTCTGTGGAGCTGGGCTCTGAACCGTGGGCAGTGTGGAACAAGAGGGCTTTGAGAGACCACGTCTGAGCAGCGCGGCTGGTCACGGCGCCCCTGCCTCCTCATTCCAGGGGTTAACCTCTCCTGCTGCCAAGTAAAATACTGAGACAGCCGTGTAATTATGGGCACTGTCAAAGGGCAGCCGCAATTTGGAGATCTATTTGCATAGTCAAGAAAAACCCCCGCCACCACCCCCCCACCCAACTCTCCTCGATTTGACAGAGGGGCGATAACTGTGTTCTTCGTACATAACTTCAATCTGTCATACGAGACCGGATTGAAAAAGGCAATCAGAAACATTTCAGGTACCACCTGTTCCAGTATGCAGAGCCCAATGGAGGAGAGCAGTAACAGAGAGTGTGTTACTTTAAGCATGGCTAAACGGGGTCTGCCGACTTTACAAATCCTCTGGTCTCATCTTTCCCGTTTCTTAGGCGTTACCCCTCACAAAACAAGACAAATGACAGTTATTGGGGCCTGGCTGATCTGTAAAAACACCTGAAAATGACTTTTAGTCCATATGACACCTTCAATAGATCTTAAAGTGTGAGTGGGAAGCTCTCCTCAATAAGGAACGTGCAGTTTCAATTCTAGTTATTTTAAGCTTTTCCATGGCTGTTTGTTTCTGTCACATGACACGAAAATATACCTTTGTTTTGCTTTAAAAAATATTTCAGGCCACTGCTATCTAAATCCAGCTGCAAAACATCATGAGTGTGTCTGTCTTACTCCGTAAGGGCTGTAGCAGGTTGCACATCATAGTTTCTGTACTGTAGTTTTACAGTTTACCACTGCTACTCATAAACTAATCTGACTGGATAGTGTCATAATCACTCCTTGTCATACCTTCGTTACCCCGCAAACGTGTGTCTACGTATATTTATCTGTTCCTTAATAATCCTTGCCTCAACGCATTAGTAATCTTGATCTGAAAACAAAGCCCAAGTCGAGGATTAGGGTGAAATAAACTAGAGGGATATGAGCCAATCAGAAGACACTTTTAAAACGCCAGAAAACCTGATGGTTAACATGCAGTTTCAAAAGGGATAAACATACACAGGAAATTGTACTGCCAGATAGTATTTGGCTTGTAGTTCAGTTTTCTCCAAACACTCTAACGCTAGGGTGTGAACACTAATCACAAAAACATGATACAGTACTCCCAAGCTTTGTTAACTGCCTGTCAGTGTTCTAAAAATACCATTGCTATTTACTGCTGGATAAGGCGGCAGTGAATCGAGGCTCTGTGGATGCCATCCACACAGGCCTGTATAAATAGCCCGAGTTCCCTTCTCCCTCGGCCTCCGCGTCTGTTTCGCACAGCTCTCTCCCCCGGAGTAACGCGAGTGCAGGG